AACTAAATCAAACATAGTTCTACTTCTTTCATGTCCAAGTTCCCTGTTAAATTTCATCATTAAAAATYGTAATTTTTGGACGAGAGAAATACTAAATAAATTATTTTATATTACCTGATTATCTTTTTGTAAACAAGTATATGTCGTACAGTTATCGTTAAAAGACCACGTTTCACCCGGTTCGTAAAGAATATTTTCATCCACGCAATATATTTGCTGACACTCTCCGCAACATTTATTATCTTTCGGTGCTTGATACTTCCAACCCTTGTTAACAAATTAAATTTAATATTAAAATTATGTTCATTAAATTTATTTTTTATAATAATAAAAATGATATAGTTTTACCATAGGACATTCCTCAGAACAAGTTTTATAATCCAGTACTTTCATAGCTTCATTATCTCTAGATTTGCATATTTGAGTGATGCAATCATTAGTTGGATGTTTCCATTGTTCATCTATCTGATAAATTCTATCATCATCACGACAAGCTGTTTTAACGATAACTGGACAACATTTATTAGGCAGATTATATTTCTCAATCACATATTCTTCTTCATCGATTAGATTAATTTCAGGACATACCTCGGTTACTGAATTTATGTATAACTAAAAATATCATATCTCAAATTTAATTATTTTATTATTATACTTAAGAAATTTTAACACAATTATCAATTTTATTTATACTTACACTTCCATCTACAGATTGACAAGAATATGTGACACAATTATCAATGGAATACCATTGTTCTCCAATACTTTTAATTTCTTTGTTTACAACACAACCAATGGCAACACATTTTCCGCAACAATCACTGCTTTTATCGTTAGATGGTTGATACTCGTAACCATATTCGCAAGAAACATTACAATTTTGTACTTTGATTTGATTTTGTATGTTATTTGCATCTTCTATACATTCTTTTGTAATGCATGCATCTTCTTCATCTGGTTTCCACGTTTCACCAACCTGTAAAAAATAATTAACAAAAGTAATAATATATAATTTATATTAATTAAATAACAAAAATCTAATTTATTACAATGCTCAAAATTCTCCAAATAAATCTTACCTTATAAATTTGATCTCCTTCCTTGCATGCGACACGTTTCAAACTCGGACAACATTCATCGTTTAATAAAACTTCTTCCATTACAAAATCACTTATATCTGGATGAATTTTAACATCAGGACACTTTACCGTTAAACATTTTATTTCAGGACCTAAATCTGAATTTTCGCATACGCATGTTCGACAATTATTTTCTTTCCATTCTTCTCCAATAGTTTTTGATATTACATACTGTGAGCCTGTATTTGATGTTGCATTATAAATACAGATATCTTTTGGCGGTTCTAAAAAATTAACATTATTTTCCATTAATTTATATATTATGAATATATTTAAACATTAACGTGAAATATATAATTTTATACTTACTACACTCATAATATGAACAACATGCACTTTTTAATGGCTTTTCACTTAGTATATAATAATCAGGACAAACTGGTGGTGAAGGACACATCAGTGGATTACAAATCTTATTCAATTTCGGACAACAACCACTTGTATTCATCGCTGTTACCATACCAGGTTCCAATATTTCAACTTCTATTTCAATGTCTTGCAATACAGGACATTCTTCCGTTGGTACACATTCTACAGTAATTTATATATTAATCCATTAATATTAAATATAATCCAATGTAATTAAATATATTCATACATATGTATTTCATACCACAAACAATTTTTTTACATCCTTTAGTATCTGTATGCAATTTCATAACTTGTCCAAATCCACATTCCGGTTGCTGCATTTCTTCGCATAATGGAGATTCCGTTGCTGCAACTAATATTATTATTGTATAAAATAAAACAGAAAAAAAATCAATAAAATTATAAAACTATTATTAATTTGTTTGTACTTACTGCACAAATATTTAGGACAGCAATCAGTTTCAGTACCGGATACAAGTTTAGGTGTCATATTTTCTTCACAAATTGTGTCTAACGTCGGGCATTCTATTTTCTGACAATTAACTCGTTTTTTCTGACAAGTACACGTAGTACATTTATCTGAATACCAAATATCTCCTTCAATGTGACCATCTTCGTCGCACACTAAACATTTCTTTTGTTCGATACATGTGTTATTGTGAAGTACATAATTTTCTGGACAGAAGCATCCTTCTTCAAACTGCATATTACATGTTTTGTTACTTTCTGCGTTAATATTATCACAAGTACAATCGAAACCGCATGGTTTATATTGTAAATCTGTAAATAATAAGCAAATAAAAAATAAATTCACATTTTTATTAATTGTTATATTTATATTAATAATTATAAAGGACATACATGGTGGACATGTATATGGACATATGTCATATGTCCTCCAATCAATACATAAACCTGTTTCTGCACATTTCCTAGCATATGCTGCTAAATTATCGCAGTAATCTTTTCCAGTACACAATGAATCTTGACAAATAGACAAATATGGATCGGGATCAACAAGATCATGACATTGAGAAAATACAGTGCTTAAAATTTGATTACACAAATCATTTTCTACTTTCTGCGAGTTGCATATAGGTTTTTGTTTAGATATGCAATTTTGAATGTCTCGATGGTAGTCGACTGGTAAACTATCAACCAACCAACTGTTGCCAAATTGTTCTACGTTATCTGTAATCTAAAAATTAGAAATAATAAAATAATACAAATATTTTATAATGATTATATATATTTAATAAATATTCTTCTTACGTTTCCATCTTGTTGTTTCAAATCATCTTCAATATCATTATTACAATTTCCACATAAACCTTCAATAGCATCACCAAATATTCGCGATGGAACTCTAACTGTGAATGCAAAATTAGGTTGCGTAATAGTAATTTCTAATTGAATAGCTGGTATTAATAATTTCAAATATTTTCCAGGCGTTTCTTCCAATTTCAACCAGTGCGTTTCATAAGGCAATGCTTCCACTATTGTATTATCAACATTTATTTCTACTAACTATTAAAAAATAAATAACATTATTTAATAACATTTTATAGACATTTTAACTATCATATTTCTGGCATATTTTATAAGATACAAATACGTACAGTTCTTACAATCGATACTTGGATGATTTTGATAACATGCGACTCGTACAAAACAATAATACCCTCAGTACAAATACCAGTGTCACAAATAATATTGGAAACTAGGACCTGTTATATTATAAAATTAAGTTAATTATATTATTAACATTTATCTATAAATAAAAAACAATCATTGTACCTGATATGTATGGTCTTTATGTTGTAAATTTGCCTCGTTGACAATATCCCTCGATAATATATATGTACAATTTCCTTCGAATGTGAAATTTTTTCTATCGAAACTAATAAATGAATTTCCAAATCCTTCGCAAATACAGTCACGACATTCACTTGTTGGAATACAGTTATCACCATTACGTACTGTACCCTCTGGACAGAAACAACCAGAAAAGCAAACACCTTCCATAACTGGACAAGGATCAACTTCTTGTAAATCGTTACAACTACGTTCGCATTTATTCCTATATTATAAATAAATAATTAATAAAAATTATATGTATATAATACAAAAAAAATACATTAAACATTTATTAATATATTTAAAAATCTTACCGGAAACAATCTTTATGCACGAACGGTGCTGAACAATTACCAGGACAATCATAAATATTTCTCCAAGTTGACAAATCAATATTTTGATTGTTAGCCTGACATTCTGTAACAAAACTCGTTAATGTCCGGCAACGACAATCATCATAAGTAGATTTACTGCGTAAACAAGTGCAAGCTGTTTCTAAACATCTCGATAAGAATTTATCCAAATCCACGACACCAGAACAAATAGCTAAAGATCTATCTTTTATCGTGTTACAAATTTTCCATCCTTGTTCTTTAATATCATATGGACAAGCCTTCAAAAAAGGGTTTATTGTATATAAAAATATTTATTATATTTTAAATAGTTTACTATTATAAACACAAACCTGAGATTCACATTGCAATGCGCCTTCCATTATCCAACTATTACCAAATTCAACAGTACTTTTAGATTGTTTTCCATCCGGCATTTGTTTATCATTTAATATGTTTTCATCGAAGTAACCACAAAGCCCGTCAACAAGGCTATTCAATTTTTTATTAATACCAATCTTAATATTTGTATCCATATTCCACATGACCCAGAATCCATAATGATTACAAATAAGATATATGGTATCACCAACACGTGACACTTTAAATAATTTAAATCTATCACCAAGACGTCCAACTTGGTTTGATGTATAAGTATAATCGTTGATATCTATGTGCATGTCTGGATACAAAACTATTACTTCATCGTCAATAAATATTGCTAAATTTCTTGAACATTGTATACCATCGCATAATTTTTCCACTGAAATCAATCAAACGTAATATAAAAATAAACAAAATAAAACAAATGATCATAAAATAAACATATAATTTAAATATTATTTACTTACATGTTATATACCATTTATTTCCATACATATCTCTCGCTAAAATATGATTGCATATGTCATATTTATATTCTAAATTGTCAAACGTATTAAATGTTTTTCCTGTGACGTTGCAAATAGCTTCTAACGGTATCGGAGGCTCACATGTGTACTTTCGACATTTTTCAATCTTATACATACTCATTTTTTCATATTTGATTGTATAATTTGGAGGACATGCTACTTCTGGACAATTATCTGTTTCTGGTATTCCACCAAATACTAATGGTGGTTTAATTGGAACGCATGTAAAATGTGAACAAAACATACTTCCTTGGCTGTTATAAATTTCATGGTTAACAGTTTCATGATATTTCCATGATTTTCTAAAAACAATATATATATCATAAAATTAAATAAATTAATACAAGTAAAAATAATTCTCTGCATTAAGTACTAAGTCATTTTTGTTAAGCATTCTGTTTAAACCACAATGATTTATCAGCTGTAGAAAAACATAATAATGTTGGCAATTGGTGACCAATGTAGCCTGAACAGAAAGTCCAAAGCTAATTCATAGGAACTGGTGTAGCATTTAACGTATTAATATAATAAATATTATAATGCATTTATATTTACCTATTATTCTTTTTAGTTGAATGCTTAGTAGGTCTTCGTTTTCCTTTCGTAAAAATATTATTATTATCGATAAAAGTATGTTCATAAACATTGCTATAAGCTTTACTTATATGATGTTTATTCCAACCACCCCGTATAACTGTCTTATATCCAATAGGACATATAGGTTTTTCGCATTGAACTGAAGGAACTAAATATACATTTTTCTTATTATATTAAAGTAAAATGTATATAAATATAAAATCACAAAGACAAAAAATAAATGATTACTAGTTTACCTGGAACAGTGGTTTTAGTAGGAATTGGGGTGGTTGTATATTTAACTACATCCGTAAAATCGAAGCGATTACTGGGTTTTTCAGTTTTTGGACAGTCCTTCTCGTCATCAGGACAATCCTGTACTCCATTGCACCATAAAGTTTCATTTAAACAAGTGTTACTTGTTGGACAGTATCTTGTACCATATTGACAAGATTTACAAATACAACTGCATAATTCTATGATAACTGATTGCATTCCTGGCTCAGAACACGGTTCACATTTCTTTGGTATACAGGAAGATACACCACCCAAAGTACAAGTACATTGTTGACAATTTTCTGACTCATAAATTGATCCGACAGCATACCTAATATAATTCAAATGTATGTTATCAAATAATTGTGTAGATATATACACATATTATTAGATATTTTTTTATTAATGTATTTTTGCTTACGAGATATGACCAACAACACATGGACAGTTTTGTTTGGAAACACAAGTTTCTCCATTCCACCAAAGAGATTGATCGCAATTACACGTAGTTGTATTTTCTATTAATATACCATCACATGTATTACATTCTGTTATAATTAATTCTGTCGAAGTAGGCAATTCTGTTGTTATTATAGCTGAAAAAATAATTTGATCATATATTTAAAAATATAATAAAAATAATTAATAATTATTTATATTAAATATCTATATAATAAATACTTACGATATGGTGAGAAACATCCAAGTACTTCGACTTTCAATCCAATATGCTCATGCCATTTTATTGGTTGTATTTTTAAATATCTTGTTCGCAATGGTTTCTCAAATAAATTAGTTTTAATATTGATAGAATCAAAATTTCCTAAAAATTCAACTTCGATGTTATCGTCATTAATGATTGGATTCCATTGACGACCATCAATACTGTAAGAAATTTTGTATACAGTTGTCCATATATTATTATCTCCTTTAGTTTTAATTCCTGTTATAATTCGTGGTTCCAAAAAGTCAAATTGAACGTATTGATTTAAATTATCCAATTTAGGTCTCCATATTCCTGGTGCTGATAATTTGAGACTTGATAATAAATCGTCGAAGGAAGAGGATGCAGAAATTTGTGCGTCTGACATCAATCCATTGTCCAACCCCATGGAATCTTCGCACACTGTTATATAATGTGAATTAATTTATTCTTTTAGAAGTATTTAATTAAAAAAGATAAAAAAGTATTAAATAAAAACACATGTTACCTGGGTTTATAATTTTTTCGAAATATTTAACAGTTGTTGTATCAAAAAATTCTGTTATAGTCGATAATATATCAAGCTTAGTCGTAGTTTCAATTACATTTTCTTCGCAACCAAGTAGTTCAACTTTGATAGCAATTCCATTATGCCATGTCAAAGGATTTATTCGAATAATTTTAGCTTCGATAGGTTCATAAAACTTTTGTTCAACTGCCTCGATACTGTCAACGGGTCCTCTAAATATACGTGGTTGTTTTGTATTATCCATTAGGTATGAAAATGCATGACCATCATCGGAAAAAAGTATTTGATAACTTGTTACAAATTTATCATCAATAGGAGAACCTTTTAAGATGATACCATAAATTGGTAAAGGATGTTGAAATTCTATAGTAAACCTAATAAATAAATATATTGTTAAATATAATTGTTTAAGTTTTATGAAATTAAAAATACTTTCTCTAATGTATTGAAAGAACAATATCAAACCATTGATTTTTATCAACAAATTGTGGTTGCCAACTTCTAATTGGTTCCTTTGTTATTTGATTATCAAATACTGCATTCTCAGGTTGAAATCTAATGCCATTACTACTGCTAGCATTAAAAGAAACTTCATTTGTTGCAGATTGTTGAATAAGTGGTATATATCTACCACTATCGCATTGTTCAGGTGGAGTTACAGTACTGGTTACAATAATTATATTTTTTTCTGTAGTAATCCAAGTTGAAGGCTTTGTCTCATAATTAAACGTAGGTGTAGATGTACTAAAAATTAATTATACTTCATTAATAACATATTCCCCCTCTTTCATAAAAACAAAAATACAATTCAACAGTATGATTATCTACTAACGATGACGATGGCTCAACTTGATGAGTAACATTCGTGCACACAGTTTTATCGCATGTATAATAATTATGAATACATTGACATATTTCACACTCGCTTTCTTTAACCACGTTGCCTGGTTTGATACTTTCTCCATTGTGAGATTTGCAAGTACAATCGACCGAGTCAACGCATGTTTCAAAATCTTTCCAAAATTTAGACGAAGGACATTCTGTTCTTTTTAATGATACACATCCTAATAAAGATTAAATAATTATTATTTATCTTTTGAGACACAAATAATAATTTCAAATATAATAATTAATAATGAAATTTGTTTTACCTGGAATGCAATCTGTGTCTCCTTTACAAAGGCCTTGTTCTGATAAAGAAAAACTATAGTATTCGCAAGTTTGACTACATTTAATAGCACAATCGTTCCATTTTTCATCAACTTTGCATAATCCTATAAAATAAACAAATTTTAATAAAATAATATAAATAAATATAAAGAAAGAGTAAATTGAATATATTTCTTACTTGTAGTTGTAACTTTTTTCTCCTCCGTTGTAATCAGTGTATTTTCATAAGATGTGGTAGTATTTTTGGTCCATTGGACTTCTTTATTCAGAGTCGTTTGTTTGATATAACATTCTGGTCTTATAAGTATAACATTAGCTGGCCAATCGCATACTTGAAAATTTGGATTGTAAAACATATCAGAGTCGCATGTTTTCTCAACCCAGACATTATGAGCACACTGATAAAATATATGACAATCTGTTGGATGCTTTTTATAAGAATTTTCTAATTCGCAAACATTGTTGTTCAATATTTCGGTAGAAGCTAAAAATTATTATGAAGTAAAATTCAACATGTGTATTAACTTACAAGCATCGTATTAATTAATTATGTTACATACTTAAAACTGTAGTTGACGTTGCTGTAGTTTCTGGAGAACACTGACACAAAACACTAATTTCAAAATCTATGCATGGCAAATCTGGCAGCGATTTGCAATAAAGGCCACGTTCTAAACTACATTCTGCATCCAAGCCACTTTCTTTTGGACTTAAATAATTTTCTACTGATCGACATTGTATATCAATCATTTGTTCCTTTGTACAAATAGCTGAACCCTCGATTGATGCCTTTAATATATTTTAATATAAACTATACTTCAAGTTTTTAAATTGAAAGAAAGATATGAGCATAATATTATACAAATTAATGTCTTACCAACTCAATCCAGTTTGGTAATGGTTCAATATCATTTAATTTTACTCCTTTTACATTTTGATCTTTGTTAATCCAAGCAGACCAACCATCGACACATTTTAATGATTCTTCCAAAGGAATTGTAGGAATTATAGGAATTGTAGGAACAGTTACACATGGTCCACCTTGACATATTACTTTACCACGACTACAGAAACAAGTTTGGCAATCATCGTTGCTAACTTCATCACCTTCCAAGAAAACAGTCTGAAATATAAATAATTAATAACAATTTAGAGATCCACACACACACATTAACTCCAAATAAATATAACAGGATTGTTAATGCTATTCTAAAAAAATAATTAGCCAACATACCCCATTAATTTCTGCACATATTGGCTTGCATGTTGCTTTAGGAATACATTCCGTATAATTAGCATCTTTATATATATAACCATTGGCACACGGTTTAAATAAACAACCTTCGATGCATGCATCTTGTGAACATAGATGTAAGTTATCTTTAATAGTTAATAAATTATCACAAGTTTCGTGAGGACATGTTGAAATACATGGGGAATAGGAACTGCATTCTTTATCACATTGTATTGGACAAAGATCTTGGGAACGCCATTTTATAGGAACACCTTTAGCATTACATTGTTGAGCATATGCTGCTAATGATGTGCAAAGACATTCACAATCGCCACCTTGTATAAACAGAGAAATGCATATTCGAATAAATTTATTTAAAATTTTGTTTTTCTAAATAAAAATATGATAATTAAATTACCTGTATCACAACTACATGTATCAAAGATACAATTTTTCACATAAAATTCAATATCCACTTCAGAGTGACATGATCGGAAAAGATCAGATTTTAAAATGTTACATTTTTCGATAGCCCATAATTTACGTTCTGGATGTTGCTCGCATGGATCTTTAATATCTTTGGGTTCAGGACAAAAATCGTTTATCTTCCATGAATCTCCAAACAAATTAGAAGAAACTTCAGAAATACCACCGGAAGGTGTTTTGAAATCATCCTCGCTATTATCATTGTAATCACCACAAAGACCTTTCGTATGTCCTTTCCATTTTGGGTTTAATCTAATATAAACTCTAGTACCTAAATTAAATATTTAAAATACCAATTTGTGTAATTACAACAACACATACACTTTATAAAAATGATATGAAATATAATAATTAAAAATATATATATGTACCTTTGTCCCATTGTAGTACTAAACCTAAATCAGGCACATCAAGGAACACGAATAAACCTACTGTCCTAATTGCAATCCTTTTAAAGTTTCCTTTAGGCAATGCTTTTCCTTTTGTTAGTGTAATTAATTCTTGATTCGCACCGTGTCCTACTTTAAGTGTTATGGATTTAGAACAGGATACTCCGGTTGTTCCACAAAGAACATTTTGGGTAGAGATATAAAATGTTTCTTCTTTACTGAGGGCACCTTTTGCTAAAATATAATCGCATACACCTTGGAAATTAAACAATTTCCCATCGAACGTTTCGTAGTGAGAATCACCCCATGCAGAACAAACACCTGAAAGAAAATTATTTTATCATTTTAAATGCACAATGCAAAATAAAAGTATAACTCAAATACAATAAAATATTAAATAGTCTCAAATAATTATACCTGCACATATTCTATTTGTGCAATTCCATTTACCGCTTGCACATTGACAAGTATTACAATCGCTTTGTATTATCGATCCATCTTTATAACTTTTTCCTCCATGATGACAAGGACATTCATCTTCCTTAATGCAAATACCATTGATTACATCCAAAACATAACCAGATTTACAAATACATCCTTGTTGACAAGTAATTGGACTTTCCATAACCGGTATGTGCATATTGTAACATGTTCTTGGTTTTACTGGCTCACAATCTGTTAATTCTAAATTCTTTGTTTCAGAACAATGAACTGATGTATAATTAGCTGATTGATGTTTTTTAAGCTCTTCTGACGTAGCCAGTCTGCAATCCCATTTACCACCTATACAAAAATTTAGTCTCACAAATAAATGAATTATTTTTCATCTATTATACACCAATTTATTGAATAACGATTAATATACCTATACAAGTGCATAAATCTTGCCCTTTCTGTCCAGGTCGTATTTCTTGATAACCAGCTTTGAATTCAATACCTGAATAAATACATGGACATTGACCAATTGGAATACATTCACCTGTAATATCCAACGTTTGACCCTCAGGGCAATTACAACCTTCTACACATTCTTCTTTACAATCTGGATTAAAAGATATATCTCCACATGATCTAAAAAAATATAATTATACTTTAAATATAATTTAACTTAACACCTGCGATTCATTTTAATCCAAATTTATATAAATACCTTTTACAACTATTGCCACAAATTTGATATACTTGACCTCCAGGACATTGGATGCTACATTCTTGAACTTCATAACGCCATAATAATTTTATTCCTGCCGCTGCACAATCTTTTGCATATGCTGATAATATGGGGCAGAAACATTTCTTGATATCAGTCGTACATGTACACATGTCGTATAAACAATCTTTGTAAAATACTTCTGGTTCCACATACCAGTGACAATCTAAAATCAAATTGTATTATTATTGTGTGTGTGTGTGTGTGTATATGTACTTTTTTATAAATCAGAATAAACAAAAAATCTTAAATCAATTACCAGCAAATATATCAGTATACAATTTAGAACAAGACTCTTTCGCAAAAGTACGCTTTTGTGGATTCAAATCACAAGGATGTTTTGGTTCTCTTTCATGAACATCTAAACATTGTTCGCTCGTTTTCCATTTATTAGCAAACAGAGTTACTACCTGTTCAATATCACCGTCTGGCGTTATAAAATCATCTTTCTGATTATTAGAAAATGTTCCACACAGTCCTTTTGTTTTACCTAATAAAATATACGAAATAAAATTAAAAATTTATATTGCTAGAATATTTAAAAGAAAATTAAATCGATAAAAAGATTGGATATCAAACGTACTATGAAATTCTGCTGGTGCATTAATGTAAACACGAGATATGCCATCCCACCATACTTCTAAACCATTCAACATACGAACAACAATAAATATGCTACTCGCAGTTTGTATTTTAATTCCATTAACAGAAAGTGGCAATTTATTAATATCTTCTCCATTGATAACTAATTGTTTATCTTGTTTTAACTGGATAGTTGTTTTTTCTGTTCTTATTGTTACTGTCTTTGTGCAAGAAGGCGTCTCAGAGGGAGTAAAACCTAAAGACTAAATAAAAATATAACAAAAATATATTAATTACTTGTTGAACAATATTAATGAAATATGTAATATTCATTTGTCTAAAACAATTACTTACTTCTGATATTGCTCCGGAACATGCAACATTTTTACTTTCAATGCTATAATCCTCGCCTTTCAATAGATAATATTTACATTTACCCATAAAATCATAATGTTTCCCATCAAAAGTTGTATAATGTGGGTCTCCAATGATAGCACATCTAGCACTACACTGAACTTGCGTGCAAATCCATTTGCCAGAAGTACACGTACAAGTATTGCAATCTTTTGCAACGCTTGCTCCAGGTTGAAATAATTTTCCTCTTAATCTACAAGGACATTCTTCTTGTGGTACACACTTATCTTCATGCATCAAAGAACCTTTAGGACAGAAACATCCTTCTTCGCAATCTGCATCATTTATATTAAATTCAATATCGGAACCACAAGAAGGTTGTGCTTTTGGTCCACATGGCATGTAAATACGTCCTTTTGTGCATTGCATTGCTGCGAGAAGATATATAAAAATATATATTTTGTGATAATAATATAATAAAATACAATAAATACAATAATTGCAATAATAACTTACAACAAAGATCTTTATTCCTCCAGCCAGCCAAAGAAACAATCCCTTTATGCGCACATTGTCTTACATAAACATTCATCGTTTCGCAGGCACAAGTTCTCCTATCTAAATCGTTACAAGCACAATAATCCCAAACGCAAGCTAATTCCAAATCTGAAATCTTCAATGTACTTGAGCAACTTCGAAATTTATTATCTGATAATAATTGTGTACAAAATTCATAAGCTTCTTGGCCAAGCTGCGAATGTGATGGGCAAGAATGCTGTTCTTTTAGATTTTCGTTACATGTTTCTAGAAATATACAAAAATAATAAGATATAAGAAATTATATTGAATATTTTTAAATACTTAAGATTTTAAAACTCACCACCAATATTTTTAACTTGCCAACTATTGGCTAATGCTTTAATACTTGTCGGATGATTCCCAGTTTTGCCTATCAAATCATCGTTATGATCACCATTCATTCTTCCACATAAACCTACTGTTCTATTCCACATAGTTTCAGAAGCATCTATTTGTACTAACAATGCTCCATCCCATTTCAATTTAACTCCTAGAGAGTCTAAATAAACAATAATGAAGTGTGCTGACATCTCAACGCGTAAACCCGGTAATTGAACTGGTATCGGAAAAGATTTCTTAATGCTACGAAATTCAGGTATATCTCTTTCATTTCGTGAAAGAGTGTATTCTTTTTCACCAACAAAAAGTTTAATAATTTTAAAACAACGAAATTCCGTTTGGCAACTTGGACTATTTTGTACAGTTATTGTTAAAATAGCATTGTTTTTCTCTTGCAACATAGTATGACTGCAATTACTTTCGAAGCTGAAAATTTGATCGTCAAAAGTTTTATAATGTGCACCACCCCATGTAAAACAAGTCTTTGGTTCTGGTCGTTTTTCTTCTATAATTACTAAGCTATTATCCAGCATTCCAAATAAATCCTGAAAAAATGCAAATATATGAATACGTTACTTGTATATAAATTCTAGAGCTTTTTTTTTATTTAAAATATATTTAATTACCTCTATTATTTGGTCACCTCTATGTAATTTAAAAATGTCACTGGAATTATTTCTTTCGTTGGATTCAAACATATTTTCGAATGACCATGTAAAATTAGATTTATGAACATACGAATTATACGAAGTACCGTCGGTGTGTATATTTATATTGTTATCAACTTTGCATTGAGGTATCGGTTGTGGTAAGAAAACTCCTGTATCATAATTACAAATGTAAGCATCTGCTGGTGGAAATTCAAAATCTATCCCAAGTGGACAATTTAATTTACAAGAATTTATATTCTCTGAGCCCATACAGTAAATACCACCGTTGAAGTTCAGTTTTTCACTGCTACAGACATTCATTGCTATAAACAATATAATGATTATTTATTAATGTGTGAATGAAGTTTATATAAATAATATTTTTATAAAAGATATTAAAAATTTTTACAATATTGACATTGAGGTCCTCTGAATTCTTGTGGACATTGGCATACATTTCTTGGAAGACAATTACCACCATTCTGACACGGTGGATTGCAAACAGCTGTCAAATAAAATATTTAGAAAATGTTTTAAATAAGTACATTTAACAAAATAATACGGTTTTTCTAAACTTACGTGTACAATCTGGAATTGATACCCAATCTGTTCTGGTTGGTACCCAGTTACCACTTTCACAAACCAAATTAGCAACTGATGACCCATCTGGATATACAAAATTTTTCAAACAAGATATGGTACAAAATCTGAAAATAAAATATATATATTAATATTTTTCTATTAATTTTATTAAACAGACGAATAAAAGTAAATAAAATATGAGTAATTTACTTAGAATCACAACGTCTATGAGAATTAAGAACAGATGGCACAGAATCCAAACATGGTTTATTTTCAAATTGGCATTGTGGTCCAGAAAAATTTTCTTGACAATAACATTGATCCGGTGCGAAACAAATTCCACTATTTTGACAATTTGGCATACATATTGCTAAAATAATAATAAATAGTTTTAATTTTATTAATAAAATATATTTTTATTAATAAATTTTTAATAGTTGTATGAAAAACATAAATTTAATGACATATAATTAGATATTAAAAACATATACAAGGTGTTCTACGGTTTACCGATCAAACTATTTTAATTCCATTTGTTTATATCTTTTTAATAAATTATTTCTAAGAATATTTTTTATTTCCATTTGTAAAATATATATTCCCACAATTTGGCTGGTAAAACCCAAGACATCATGTATATACTATACTATAATATAATATATTATACTATACTATACAATACTGTACTATGTTATGCTGATAATATATTTTTTTGTAAATATAACATACGTTCACAATGTGGTATTGTACTCCAGTCAGTGCCAGAAACATACCACTTTGCATTACTACATGTTACAGCTAATTGATTTGCTCCACTTGGAAATTGATGACCATCATCACAACGAGCAATACATCCACTAAAAAAAGAATAATATATTATAAATAATTTCATATTTGCAATAACATTTTCATACGATTATAATATATTTGTTATTAAAAATACATACCTATCTGTAGAACATCTTATATTTCCATTAATCGGTGCATCTGGCATTCCAATACAACCACCAACATATAAGTTTTTTCTTTTAGCATCCTTAGTTCTAATAATTGAATCAATTACTGTACGTCTAAATAAAATAAAAAATTTGATTCAATTGATATATATTTAATTATAATGTTGAAAAACTTATAATAAACTAAAAATTATTAATATTAATACGAAGTATTTTCACTTTATAAATACTTACTCATCCCTTGCCAATTCTCTTTCTTGTATTAATGCAGTAGCAGTTATTGTTGTTATAAACAGTAATATTAATTTACCCAACACCATTTTAACAATATCTATAACATTTAACTAGCGATGCTTTATTTGTAAAAAAAAAAAATGAAAATTCGGCATTTATTAGATAAAAATGAAAACTAGTTAAATATTGTACGTAATAACCGTCTGCAGCGATTAATTCCTTTTAATAACTATTACCATAATTCTCTTCTTTTATATAACTTCCTTTGAAAGGAAATAGATAACTTAATAAATGATAAGTTCTGAAATGTCGTCAACTTCCTGACGAATTTTAAGATAAAAAAATAGGTCAGTTACGTAGAACCAACTTTATTAATAAATGATTTATAATCTCCGACTTTTTTCATCCTCTTGTACTTTTGTTAAGAAAAAAAAACGAAGATATATTTTAAATATATTACTTACTTCGGTTTAAGAACACTATCGTTACCCATAAATTATAACTTATTATATTCTATTTGTATTGTTATTATACAATAAATAATTAAACTAAAAAATACAAACCATTGTAGGACATGTGTTTTTTTAGATTATTTTTATAATTTCAAAATATAAATAGAATTATCCTTCTTTTTTTCTATTACGCTAAACTTATTAATATCTGTACGATATCTGTGTTATTAAAATATATTTTCATTATCATGGTCATTATGCATACTAATGAGTTAGATAAGACCACAACGGAAATGTTTATCAAATAATTAAGAGAACGTAATACATAATACTATAATACTTTGAATAACCATTTACGATATCAAAACATTAACTGTGCTGGATTATAAATACATATATTTATAATATTTTTTCTTCCAAATAAAGTAATATGACACAAAA